AAACGTTCAAAGTTAAGGTTTATATTTTTAGTATTAAGAAAAATTGCGCTAATTGATAACCAGTGTCGACTCCTATTGCCTGTAATATATTTTTCATTAATTGTTTTAATTAAAGGAGTCTATAAAAACTTATTGGTTTTCAGTAATTTATAATTGATTATCATTATACATTTCGTATTTTTTATATTTCTAAAAATACGAATATATATTGTATTTTGTATCCTACGTTTTGAGATGTATCTTTAAAATTGGATTCGGTTAGAATTACGTAAGAGTACGATAATTATAATTCTAATATAATCGTCGCAATAATTGACAGAAAATCGAACATGAAATTAGATTTCTTTCATTTTGAGCAATTCTCGCAGATTTAATTAGTTATAACATTAGTGATAACTCACTGAAGAATTGGGTTGATCCTGTACAGGTTGGACTTCCAAAGAGACGTGAGGATTCTGGCTGCTCTAGAAGATCGCAATATCGCACGAGTCCTGGGCGCTTGTTATCGCGAGGAACCGTACTGCGTAGTAATGGAATATCTAGAACATGGGGATCTTTGTCAGTTCCTCAAGACGCATATCACTGCCGAGGACGCGCATTCCATGCCAATTGGCGTCAAGACACTCAGGTAACTTTCCAGTGACACATTCTGACATTAATCAAAACCTAGTAACGCATATATAATTCTCTTCGTATTATAACTAATTTCTCTTAAAACTATTAATTAGCATTAATGCCTATTACGTTAATTTCTAAATTACTCTCGAATTTGCGTAATGATTTTTTTATTTCACTATAATATAATACTAGAATGCAATTTAATATGTATCGCCTAAAATATTTTTCTGCTGACTTGTTACTTTATTGATATAGTGAAAGAGCAGTGTTTATTAAAACATTCGCTGCCGTTTTTCCAAAAAATGGCACGCGTGCAGGATGTTTCATTGCATGTAACGGTCGTCGCGGAAATTGAATGTTTTCAAATAAAAGCAACGCAGTATCTTCAAAAATATCAAATCCGAATACTTTTCGTAAATAAAATTGCCAAAAAGTCATGGAACACATACACCTTCATGAAAGCAATATTCCATTTTGTATTATAAAAAAGTATATGTACATATATATAAATATATATTATATATATAGAACCTCATTAGAGATCCTATGCTCCACGCAAGAGTTAAAGGAACATATATATATGTATACATATATACTTGGCTAATATACCTCGCATCCTCGCAACATGAAAATTTTCAGTTATACGAGATGTTCCATGAAAACGCAGCTAAATATTAATCCGCTCGTTACCTCGCATCAAAGCGCTTGAATTCGCGGCGATCACATCTTTAACGATGATAGGTATTACAAATTCCGATTCTCGCACATTCCGGATTTTCTTGTAGCACCAATAAAAAGCCCGGGAAATGTGTGCTCGCCGATAAGTGCTGCGCATTATAGATAAGTATATGCTTCTTTAACACGTTAAGTCGCAGTATCGACTTTTAAATTTTTACGTAATAAAATTCTGCTAATATTCTGCTGAAGTGGCAAAGTAAGAAGGAATATTAAAATCATTTCGCATAAAATGCTTTCAATAATTTTGAGAACTCGACAACAAATATCATAATAAAGCTTAACTGTTCGTTGTACATGCATGCACGGAAAGAATAATGATTTCACTAAAATATCTAAAAATTTAACTAGATACAGATCTGAAAATAATTTTGTTGGATTATCAAAATAATTATATAGGACACTCAAGCTAATTGCTAGAATATTACAACTTTTTGCAGCATTGCTCATTACGTTTGAATTTTCTACATGAATATTTTGATGATGGAACAAAATTATTTTCAGATCTGTATCTAGCTAAATTTTTATTTAAGTAAAATTATTCTTCCTGTGTATTCTACTTAAAAATGTAGCATCAGAGAAATTTATATTTTCCAAATACCAAGCTATTAAAGTTGAAGGACATCATATCGTGGAAATTGCAATTTTTTTAAGAGAAAATTAATTATATTATCTAGCCGTATAATCCGAAAAAGCAATTCTGATCTAACTTCATTAATCTAACATTGTTCGATAATTCATCTACTATATAATGTTAGTGCTAAAATATACGAGTATATTACATAACGTATATAAACCCGACTACGCTGACGTATAAGCAACGCGCTGTTGTTACCGAGCTTAAAGTATTCAAGATTACGGGGCTCCCGAAGTGCTGCAATCGTCTCTAACGAACCGGAGCTCGGTTTCATTTCCAGCGAACTGCCGTCGCTGAAGTTAACACGCAATAAGTTTCTCCCGCGCGAGAGTTTGACGCGTTTATTAATCGTGAGCGACGCACAGCCCTGACACAGCCCCGATTCCCGACGACCTACACCTCGGAGGAATCCCTCCGAGGCGGCGGCGGCGGCGGGCGAATGTATTCGAGTGCGAATACCTTAACTTAGTCCCAGCAAACTCACGCCACTTCGTCGTCGTTTCAGTTTCAACTGTCTCATCTACATGGCGGCACAGATCGCGTCAGGCATGCGGTATCTGGAGAACCTGAACTTCGTTCATCGAGATTTGGCTACTAGGTGAGTACAATAGGACTTTGCTAAAACGAATCTCTCGCGGATTCGCTTTCATCTCTCGAGAATAAACTTACGAGCGAGGCTTTATCGTCCTCAACCGGTATTCACTCTGTATCCAAACACACACTCCATGATTCTCGTCCTCCGTTAGCATAATACGTCATTTATACATTAAGCGGCGTCTACGATGGGATTTTAAAGCATAAAACTTAAGTTTTTAAGTCCTAAGTCGTAAAAAATTGACGCAATCATAATCGATTATTCTCCTCACGTTCGACTGTAATTGATTAATTTCTTACGACCTATATATATAGGACTTGAAACTTAAGATTTACGCCTTAAAATCTTATTGTAGACGCCGCTTCAAGTAATACAAGCTTACAAACGATTACGCGTTATTAATTCTCTATGATGCAATTTTAACAGTCAAAATGACTATATCGCGTACATCTTTTTATTATGTACATATATTCAACAGCCAGTAGTATATTTCTGCAGATTCCGTTATACTCCGCGTGCGAGTCTTAGATTAAACGAAATTGGAGAATGAATCGGAGATTTGAATACAGACGTGAATATGAAGCTCTTTCTCGCGCGAGTGCACCGATGCGCGTCGAGAAGATGTAAGATTACAAGGGAATCTTCTCGGTCGACGTGACGCGAGGAAAATTACAACGTTTCCGTGGCGGCAACAATATGCGGAGGGTTTTATAATTCCTAACGCAGCCGGGGATGATCCCTGTCGCGGGGGAACCGGTTGAAAAACGCGATATATATCTCTCGCCGCGCGATTTTTATTGAAAAGTAATTTCAAAAGTCGGTCGCGGCCAAACGCATGGAAGAGGTATGGTATGGCGCGGCGTGAATGTCGCGGCATGGTTTTTTACGTTATTGCGGAAGGGATAAATGGATCCGTTGCACTCTTGATTTATCTCCCGACGTAAATTTACTCATCCTCCCCGTATTTTTCCCCGTCTCGCTTTCCGCTTCATCGGCTAACAAGACTCCATCCGTGCTATCGACTTTAAATAGTAGCGAATCGAGATTATCTTTCGACGGATGTAACCCTCACGATCTTGTTTGAGATTGTGCCGTCCGCTTTAATTGGCACAGTCTAATAACTAACAGAGATGTTCTCGTGGTGTGTGCTTGTACTCGGTAACGTGTACGTACGTAGAGAGAGGATTTTACCACGTCGAGAGCCCGTTAAAACGGGGATGGGGCACCGATATCGATTCCTCCCCCCTGTTACACTCTCAGGATGAAATTGAATTATACCAACCCCCGCAGTGCATTTCCATAAGCCCCAAAACAAACGGAGCCGAGAACCGCATGGGAAATCAACGATTTGTTAGTGAATCGTCGCGAGGTGTGCGGCGAGAAGAGCAAGCAGCTAGTTTGTGAATGGTACCGTGACCTCGGTGTAGAAAATTTTGACGTTTTATTTATTTTTACTTTTTATCCAATCGCACTCAATCGTCGTAACCATCTGGATCAGCTTATAATATTGTGTCCTTCGTAGATCGATCGCCAAGTGATTCCTCCGGGTTTTTCGCAGGAGCAACCATCAACCCCAAAGTGCGCGACTTCGAGCACACAATAGCCACCTTCCTCAATCCAACATAATGGCCTAATATTTGTCACGTTTGCAGTCGATTTTCCTTTCAACCACTACAAAAGGATATCCGCCTCGCATTAAGTATAAATCGAGATTAAGTATAAATGGGGAAAAGGCCGATTATTGTCTAAAAGGAAGAATTTATACATTTTTTATATGTTTCGATCCAAACGCGTCTTTAACTGAAAGCGCAGAACTGAAAATTTAAGTGAGAGCCTGTGCTGGTAACGAAATTTTAATGCCGGAACTTGCCGATTATTCTCCTTGAATTTTCCATCGATCACAGATAACGCGCAGGCGCCCGTAAATTTAATGATGAAAATATTGCATTAGTGTAAAATATATTGCATCGATTCATCTCATAGATATTACAATTAAAATCGATATTACAAATTACATGATTTATTATACTTATTCTATCGCGACATTTTGCATATAGACGTGTGTATCTTTTTCATATGAACTCCGTATGTTTTCAAACGATTTCCATTTAATTTCCATGCTTCTAATATTGCATAGATAAATCTTCATGATGATCTTCGTGCCACATAACGTATACAGTGACCAGTATCGGTAATCATCGATCTACGAATACAAAGTACACATCTCGTATATGGAACAAAGTCCATCTACGTGGCTGTTATTGAAATGCAATGGCCATCTCGCTGAATCGATAGGACGTTTAGATGCACATATGTGCATATATGTATATCTTCCGCACACACGCGGGCGCATATTCGCGCAAACCGCCGAGCTCTCATAGCACGTGGGACCTAGTTTCCGGCTGGACAGTGTCTCTCAAACCCTCGCTCGTAAATCTTAATGTATAGCGAGAGACACTTCCTGCGAAGCTTTCATGACGATATCAGCCCTGTCAGCATTCCTAAGAGCTTTTGACAGTTCGACCCATCGATTGCAGAAATATCGTTCAGAAGTATCGTCAAAACTACTTCTGTGTCATCCCTGTCTCGTGTACTCCTATATAAAGTCATATACAACAAAATATTGATTTAAATGAACAGAAATATATACATATATATGTATATAAGTAATCCGAAATAATTCGCATTATTATATTAATTGTACTAAGATATAATAATTTTAAATTTATATAGGGTAACTCCGGTATATACGCCGCACCTATCAAAAACTTAATTTATTAAATATTATTTACTATGTTTAAAATAAACGAACTATATCAGTAAAAACTTTGTACTGTCTACTATTATGAACAAAATATTAGAGGTGGGATATATGGCAAAAATGCAAGGGTTTCAACAAACTAAACAAAGAATACGAAAGCAAAGCACTTGTATTTTGCTATACAACATGTTTTATTATTCCTCTACACGTATGTATCACGAAATAACCACTATAGATCTTTTACACGCCTTACAGTAATCATTTTATGTAGATTATAATTTATGATGATGCTACTTGTTACACACACACAGTGACAAATCGATTCAACTCACAATAATTTCATTAATATTAACAGTAAGCTAAAATTATAACTCAATACTAATATAACATAAAGGCATGTAACAAAGTAGTTGCGAGAAAATTACCCCCACTCCTTCTATTTTTTCTGACTTCCGCGGCGTAAATCCCAGCGCGGCGTATATACCGGAGTTACTCTATATATGATTGCGAGAAGTACTCACTATGTTCGATGTTCACTGGTATTCGAAACGAGATATCTTTATGCTCACATTTTCATTAGCATTTTTCATGACAAAATGTTAATAGTGTTGCAAATTTCAAAATATTTTCGAGAGCATTCGAGGGAGTGGAATGTCCGCGTCTGTGATTGCAGCAGCCATAGGTAATCCTTTGGTTAAATTTTTAACATGCCACACACGGAGCTTTATAAAAATTTGCGCGATACGTTATCCTTCTCTGTGCTTTTGTGAGAAAAAAAGCGGGATACGATCCGATCGCGTTGCAAATAGATCGATGCCTTTTGTATAGGTACCGGGATTTAATCAAAATTTAATCAGAATTTAATGGCACCACCGCTGAACTTCCACTTTGATGGCACACGTCAGCGTGACGAACCGACGATATTCAGTGAAATACGCGACCGTATGGGAATTCCACCGTGGGGCATAAATTCTTCGTGACTGGCGGCGTCAAAAGAGAAATGGACATTGCGGGTATCAATGGCGCGCACGCGATACTTTGGAAATGCATTTTTGCCCTTTCTATCGAACGACCTTTGCGCACGATTTATCTATCGCGATAAACGAGAAAGAGCGAAACATTTTTATTCATTTAAATCGAACCGGGCGAAGGATTCCGAGCTGTAGAGTTTAAACGTTATCGAAACCGGTTGGTCGAGTACCGAGGATGTTCTACCGATTCCTCCGCCCGAGACAAACTGCCAATCCATCGCAGGCTCTTATTTCATTCGCGAATGCGCGGTATAGCTATAGAGTCATTGTCAGAACCAAGCCAAGTGAAAAAGAAGGAAGGGATCGATTGCTGATCAAACGGTAATGCAATTCAATTGGCTCGAATGGAAAAAGAATACCAACGAATGAGAAGATCGATAGCTCTATGTAATGCTTTAAAGATGGAAAGGATAGTGGATTCGCGCAGTACGAGTGTTTGATCAACCGGAAAAAATATAAAAAGACCGATATTGTATACGAACGAAGGTAAAATCTCGCATTACAGTTCAACTCGCCAATAACGCTGATAATGTTATTCTGTTAATGTGCGACATCAGAGATTGGTGATAGTGTCGGCACACTACGAATAAATGTACGTCTAAAGGAGCAGAAATAGCAAAAGCCTGTATTCTGTATTCCCGCATGTGGGTATTTCGCATTCCAGTAAAAGAGATTTCCTTCATCCTATTTTGAATCACAAATGTACCGGACGAGTTTTCTTTCGTTTTCCTTCTGGAACAACAAGTGTAGATAGTACCTCGATATTATGTCTAATATTTTTTTTTCTACTGTTCATTCTCACATTCAAAATATTATGTATAAGTTTTAGTTATGCAACTTCTAATTTCAATTTAGCCCAAAAAAAAATGCAATATAAACATTCTTACGTTTCTCTGTAAAGGGAAAATCTGTTTCTCAGGTAGAAATAGTTTTTGTTAAAAGATCCGAAAATACTTTTGTTCATATCTTCTCTCTTGCGGCAAAATTCTATGCTTTTCTTTGCGGCAAGTATAGGCAAACTTTAATACTAAAGTATTGTGCGTTTAACTCGTAATACAGTCATTCAGCCTCGCAGATCCCAACATTGGATTTAGAATGTAACTTCGAGCGATAGAGGAAGCCACGGTTCTCCTTATCCACCCTCGAGAATACTGAAGACTGTAGGTATGCAAGAATTTTATTCTCCGCTGACGAGAGCTTACGTGTTCGAACAACCGGTTAAAAATTCAAAGAAGTCGGCTTTTCTTCTACGCTTACTTCCTCGCCGTACTTCTACCTGAGAAACCTTTCGATGGTTCATTTGTTTCTTTTCCAATGCATATCCAATATTCAACTTTCAATCTAACTTGAGGCCGAACGTCCGACTTCGATGTTGATACGCTGGAATGGACTTCAATTATACAACCGCGTCAATCAGTCAAGTACACTTAACGTTTCTATTCCTATTGACAATAGCGCTCGTGCTTGCGTCAAATGGCCAAGTGATTCCGAGTTTAACTTCGACTTGCAACTTGCACAATGACAGGGGTGATTCTCTTTATCCATCGAAGAAGTCGTCGCGAGCTGAATGTAGACATTCTGCTTCCTGCCAAGAAAGCCTGTCTTTGTTCCGATTTCAATTACAGATGCGAAGGAGGCCTTTCGTCATGCTCGATATATCTGATTTTTTCTTTTCCTGATCCTTCTTTCTCACATTTTTACGCGTAAAGCTACTATAATATCATCAATTTCCTTGTTTCTCTACAATAATTTTAGATTAAAATTCTCTTGTATAAATGTAAAATAAGAGATGAATAATGAATAAGTTAAGAAACTAACGATTTTAATGGTATTTTATTATTAACTAATGATTTTAATCGTATTTTATTATTATTTTAATTGACAAAGATAAGTTCTGAATAATTACTCTCATAATCTGTTGAAATTATTAAAATTTAGGTAATAGAAATTAATGACTTTGATTTGCATAGAGAGCATAGCATTTTCTAATGTATTAATATATACAATTAAATAATATATCTGTGTAAAATTTCTATATGTATTAACGAATTATCTATTAATATGTTTAAATCCTTAAATATTTTAAATAATCACATAAAATAATTTTAAATTTATATTACAATATCATGAATATGTACCGACGCATATTTTATTGGAATTAACTATAAATAACAAATAATATATTAGTAAGCATTAGTCTATCTGATATCCGGATATTAGGAAATTAAAATTTTATGAGACATAAATTTTACACAGATTTCGGATTTCCGTGATCAGGATTTATTATTTTTGGTATTAATGCGAGCGATCAAAGTTCTAACCATCATATTATGGAGCGGAGATCATCACACCTGATTTATACTGCAACAGCTTCAATGCGAAGCGTGAACGCGGCTTATTGCATTACTGTCGTACTCTACAATATAGGGAGAACCGGGGTCAGCCCCATCGACGCAGTAGCCCGATGGCGAAGTAGCCAATAGCAATGATCGATAAAGCGCCCCTAATTAACCAGGTTCTGCTGCCAAATTGGAGCTTTGTTCCGGTGGCGAAATTAATTGATTCTATCTATTCCATACCCATACTATTCGGATAACGTTTGGTTGGGCGTCTCTCAGATAGCGAAGATTAGTTCGTCTTTAAAGCGAACTGGTCAATGTCTGAAGCTTTGAGCGGAAGTTGCATGAATGCTTATCCATCTGTAATTGTAAGTTCTCCTCAGGGAAATACTTGAACGTATCTTTAGTGGAACCCGCTCAAAGGACAAACGAGATGAAATATCAGACGCATTCGTGATAAGAGATATTAAGTAATTACGTCTATTACATATTAAGATTAAATATATAGATATATATATTTATTAGCGACTCCCCTCAAGGTTGCACTCTTTTATAACAATCGCATTACATAAAATCTTAATTATTAAGATTAAATATATATAATACAACTTCTGCTATCTCCGCAGATACTGTCAAATGGATAAATTGTTGATATCAAGTTTTTCTCTTAAAAGAAACGATTTACGATTACTGTTGCGATAATTCAATGTGGAGAAAGTTTATTCACGCATCGAGTATAATTGCACATCCGTGTGTGTTTGGGCAGGAAATGCAGCTCGACCACATACGCGAGTAAATGTTACATGCAGACAACCATTGTCGCTTCCGGTTGACTGCCATGCACAGAATGCGTACGCGTATGCAGATTGGCGGGCACGCTATGCACCCCACGCGGCCACGTACCGTCGAGAGATCAATCTGGCTTCGTCTCTTTCGTTTTCAGACAAGCCGCTCGGAAAAGTATTCGATTCGGCGCGCGCGAACTTGTGACGAAACTCTCTCGTTCAATTCCTAGAAATACTCGAGCTATCCTAAAGTCTACCTTAAGCGTTATATTCCGATCGAACAATTTGCGGAGATTATCGAGCAGCACACGAAAATCAATGTAAAATAATGCGGATTTTCTCTCGACATGATAATAGAACACCCCAAAAAAAAATAATTTTAATATTAGCAGAAACCGCTAAATCTTAGAGGATTTTATTCTTATATACGGCCTCAAGAGGAATCTTCTGAAATCAAGAGGAAAGTATGCTAAGCACAATATTCTTACAGTTAGAGTACTTTCGTTTTGCATCTGCATTAAAAATCTTGCTGTTCCTAATATAATTTACTCGTAAGAGGGCACTCCGCTTTCAGTAAATATATTCCTCTTCATACAAGAGGAAAACTGTTAGAATAATCTCCAATACATTTTTATGAATAGTCTAGTGTATTGGAAGAGGAATACTCTTTCTGTAAAAGTTTCTGCTTAGAATATGAAGTTACCGGAAATTTCACTTTACAATTAGATTATTTTTTTGGGGTGAAATAATTTCACTTTCTCTCTATATGTTATAATTTTGTTTGTAGGAACTGTTTGGTCGGTAAGGCTTATCATATCAAAATCTCGGATTTCGGCACGGACAATGAACTGTACGCCTGCGATTACTACAAGGTCGATGGAACCATGCCGTTGCCGGTACGATGGATGGCATGGGAGTCAATATTTTTGGTAAGCTGTGTCCTCGACTATTTTATTTCGAATGGCACTTCACAATGTGTCGAGATTTATCGGTAATTCTCGAACCGCTGCAGGCGTCGAAATTCTCAAATAATGTACGTTAAATCCGATTTTCAGGGAAAGTACACGACCAAGAGCGACGTGTGGGCTTTCGCAGTCACCCTCTGGGAGATTTTGAATCTTGGTAGACGTGTTCCCTACGAACATCTGTCCGACGAGGAAGTGGTGCAGAGCCTGCGGCAACTGCATCATGCCGCTGACTGCAGCAACGCTAATCCTGAAGACAGTTGCAAGGAAGATCCTAGAAACGGCTTCGATTATCTGCCTCGGCCCACCGCGTCCTCCAAGGACATCTACGATCTGATGCTCGAGTGTTGGCAACGAGAGGAAACTGAGAGACCGACTTTCCGTGAGATATCGCTCTTTCTGCAGCGGAAAAATCTTGGATACGCTCCAACATCCTGATATTGAGCCCCAAATTTCAGCGAGTGCGACATTCTTAATAGTCATACAAATCGGAACAAGCTTGTTTCTGAAACGGAACGACGAGTGTGCAATGACGGACAACGTTCTTATCCGAGGTACTGCAAGAAATAACGAACGAAGAATGATTGAGTGAGAAGAAGGATTGAGAAAAGAAGGCGAGAGATACGATGAGAGGACATATTACGTATCGCGACATCGAAATGATAAGTACAATGGAACTTTATTGTCCGTCAACGAAACAAGGCTTTGAAACTTGGAGTTTACGACAGAAATCGATCGTCCTTCTATTTCGTCTCCCCATCCATACGTGTACTTTTTTCGGACAACGAGTATTAGCAGACAGGAAATAAAGTTAGAATAGGTAGAAGAGTTAAGTGCGAGTTGAATCTTTGAGAATTAATCTTATGATACGGGATTTGTTGAACTACGAAGAGTTCAAGGTATATCGCGTGCCGCGTACAACTGATCTTCGTAGAATTCTCAGTAGCGAGACTGTTCGAGCATATCTAATCGATTTAGGACACCAAGTACGGATCTCGACGCGAGTATTCACGACAGAGTATCGTGCGAAGATCTATACTGGAATAAACCTATTAGGACTCTTTTCGAAAATGTAAGAAAAGATAAGAACGGACGCGAATTTGAGAACACGACAATCGAACGAGAGCGGAATAAAGAGTTTGTCGTAGGTAACCGTTCGGCAAAGAATCTCTGAGGGTATTTGAAGAATGGACGTTTGTGAGATAATGAAACCGAGGAGAATTCTCTCATCAGGAACTTAGGAGCAATATCATATGTAACTGTAATACAGCTGTGAACATTCCTGCACGGATGGGTACCTATACTGCGCAATTAGACAATTACGCAAATAGGAAGAATCGTTACTTAAAGATTAGGGCTCCTTCGGGATTATATCATTTTGATTAAGGGTTCGATGAGAAATGTGTAAATCACATTGACGTACGGCAATATAGCAGCTACGATATTAGACGCTACAACTGTTCGAATTAATATCGTAAAGCATTATAACTGTATTTTATGAACGTGTGGGTGCCTATTTCTCCCTTTCTCTTTATCGCTCTCCTTTACTCTCTTTCAACATATATTGGTATCGTCCCCAGACACTCTGGGCCTATTTGTGAGACGAATCTACATGTGTGATTTACATCGTGAAATCCTTTATCGTCATAAGACATATCGCGAAATGGCGAAATAATTATTATCGTGATGCAATGACGCATCAATGAATTATCTGATAATAAGAAAATTAAACGTCTTTTTAACAATACTTTTGGTTCGTATCTAAACAAAGATTTGTGTGAAACGTAATACATGTGAGAGAATACTGAATAACTTCAGAAGCAGTCAAGTGTCTGTAAAGATTTCTCGATAATACACGTTTATTCGAATGTAACTACTGCAATCACAGTTAATGTGAATGGAATTTGTTGTCATAACTGATGAATATCATACATCGTAAGCGTAAGGTAGATGAAGGGTAACGTTTTACCTATTCTGCATTGGAAGATGGTAATAGATTACGTATCATGACTATGACACATCATAATTGTAACTTTATATGATAGGCGGGATCAATGAAATTAGAATATTGTATATATAGGCGTATCGTAGTAAGGAATGTTATCATTACATTTTTTCAAGAATGACAAGTGAAAATCGAATTGACTTTGAGATAGCGCCACACGCGCTCGCTTGTAATTTGGTATTAATGTGGAAACGATGGCAATTGTTTAGCTTCCGATAAGTTATATATCCATAGCAAGTGGTAATAGGTTGACGAAAGTTTAACATATCGGAATGTACTTTCTCATAAAATTTAAAAAGAGAAAATGCGCGAAGGAAAGTGAGTCGTAATCGCTTTCAAACACTTGGAAATTAACGGGCTTATATCCGTTATGCGTTTTCGTTGTACTCGACTTCGATAATATATTTCGATTAATTTTAAGTTCCGTGTATTTATACCAGATGGACTATTATAACTTATGCGATATTTAGCGGATAGACGATGTTACCGTTATATCATTAAAATACTATTTATATAAATTAACATAATACCGCGTAAGGAGTAGAGATGGTACGGAGGCATAGCCATACGTAGTTAAAATATACGCGTTGAATTTAAACGTAACTGGAATTGCTTCTATATCACCGAAATCGAGATCGTCTAAAGCGAGTGGAAGAGAATTATAATTAATGCAAATTCGCGTATAAATTAACGAGGTAAGAAATAGGCAATACCAATTTTTGATCTTGCCAGAAGTAAATAGTAATAGCCAATCGATTAAGCCTAAGATTGTTAAGTCTAATTTACATTTTGCATAAGAGTATCGGATGATCAACAGACATATAATTTCGTGTTGTCGCGAAACGTTTTGGCCAATCGATTTTTCGCACCGATTGTGACTGAGTTGAAACAATAATACTACCCGTCTCTCTCGTTGGTACATTTTTAGTCCGAAGCAAACTGCCATTATATTTCTAGATGATAATAGAAAATGAATTGTAGTTGCGTTTAGATTCGCCAATATAAGCATAACGCTGCCTTTGGCTATATTGTTGCCCTTTACTGCTAACGAGTAACTTACTTGTCTACTCATGTGATAATTTAGTATATTTCTACGTATCTACCTGTACCTACCAATTCAAAAATCTTCATGGCGAAAGGATTATTCCAAATTACTTTGTTTTTACTATAAATCGTAGTTCAGATAAAATATTATCTATAATCAATTCTATATTAATAAAAATCTGAAAGGCAGAACAATTATGAAGAATGATGAGAATACAGGTCCTACGTTAGGATCTAGCAGCTTTATATAAATCCAAAACACAGCTGCTCCATAATTTATTAGTTAGTGACGTTAGTGAAATAGGATAATATACTCATAAAGAAAATATGCGTAATCCTTTCTCTATGCAAAGATTCGCTATTATAATCTAGATAACTTACTTCTACCTAGCGTGCCCTTTTTCCAATGACGGTTAATTATATTCTTTGTGAACAATTCGAGCTCTATCAATGGCATCAATGAAGTAAATGTTTGGAACTGCAGTAACAGGGACGAGTAAAAATATTTTGTTCGAGCATTGTGAGGTACGAACACGCTAGATCCTTATGAAATTTCATTTTTTGAAGACCCTACATATATTGATAAGCTCGATTTCAAATATCGTTTTAATTGCAATGATATTTCCTTATTATTCAACTATATACATTGCTGATTTCTTCGATATACATTTTAAATGCGTATTATTGACAATCACGCTTGCCTCGGAATTTAGAAAATATATTTAGTATCAATCGCGACTTTTTTAAAATACGATTACAACTAATAGAATTGACATTTTATAATTTATAAAATATAATAATTTAAGACATGATCTCTTCTTTATCATCTTAATTCTCGAAAACAAATATAATTTTATTAGCGCGAAAGGAAATATTAGGTTTCTTATACGTATAACAACCAAATAATATGCTAATAAATTTCAATTACCATGTTTTCAAGATAAAAACGAACGTTAAAGATGAACGTTATAATTCCATGAAACTACATAATGATCATTAATATCGTCATTAATATTATGCGTTCGCGTATATTGTATACGATGTTATGCTTAATTTAGAAATCATTTCAGATAAATTTAAACTGCATCGTACAAAGTGGTATATCATTATGATTAAAAGATTACGGCAATGAAATTAATATATTTATAATCGTTGATAAATTTTTTCTTTCGTGCACGAGCGAAATATAATTTCGATATACCGTATTGTTGACCTCTATGGTGGAATTGCGAGGAATTTACAGGTAATCGTGGATAAACTGAGGAAGAGCTCATCTAGTTGTATTTTCTATCTAGGTAGGGGCAACACTCACACGGCTATATCACTCGGCTACGTATCGCACACTTTTAGACATTTCCTTCCTAAAAAATTATCCGATATAGACGAAATTCTCAGGATTAACACAAAAAGTCTTCGATCTTTAACAAGAGAATTGCAGCGAAACTGACCATTGGCCACGGTGGGTTGCCCATGCCTGTTCTACGCTATCAAACCTTGATCGTTATAGTCATAAAATTATTTTGTACTAAGAACTGTTTATAATTTTGTATCTAATCTCTGTAAATATCAAGCAGATTGTCTATGAGTAATAAAGCTTGAACAAACTCGATTTAAGTAGACTATATATAAACGGGGAAAAAGTATATATATATATAAATATATATAAATATATATAAATACAAGTATTTATAATACATTTATATTTTATTTAGTCGTAAGGCAGCGAAGAGATGTAAGTAAATTTCGCGTAAGCGGATCGGTAACGTAACAATGTACAACGATCTAGAAATTATTTGTATTATAAAGATGACAATTAAGGGACAAATCATAAAAGTATACATGTTACTCAGTAGTCGTGTATATATATACATATACTATACATCTAGAATCTACCTAGTCATGTACGACACTTTATAACAATTAAAGTGTATCCCTGACAACAAATGCAAAATGCAATGTGTACTGTTCTTTGACGATTCTTGCTTAAATAGAGATAACAGAGAATACTGATGCGGTCGACAACCATCGAGGAGAGGTTGAACTTTTCAAGCGAATTATCATTTCAATTTCGCCACAAAGTTCGCTCGTCTCGATTACATTGCTACATATAAGGTGCAGATAAATTCTACCGAATTCGTAAACTTTTGTGCGTCGTAGACCTGAACACATCATTTATATAACTTACATGTGTATATCATTAAAGAAACAACATACAACTTGTAAGTTCCATTATCCATTATTCATGAAGCACAACGATAAATCTATTTGTATTGGAAAATCAGTCATATCACTTATTTCATGGAATTCCTATCATCCCACAAACTCTCTTTGCATCGTATTACATTAATTTGTATCAATAATTCCACTAAAATACAATGCATGTAGCTTAAAAAAAAACCAAGCTTTTTTCGTTAAATAAGAAAATGTCAATTTTCTTTTATTCTTTCTTTACTTACGTATTTTATTTTCTTATAGTTCATATTCATTCTGATTCCCGCTTTTTCCTTCAGGATATCTATTGAGAGGGGCGTTAGGTAGATTCGCAAGCTACGCGACTGTACGACTGGCAGATCACTAATAATATTCATTCAATGCTTGTATGAACGAATGAATGAGACTACGGTCCACTTGATGCTACAAATTAATGCTTCGAAGCGTTTGATTGACCAATCGGAAGAAAGAATTTTATTAATTAACCAATCAAAAAACGCTTCGAAGCATTTGTAGCATCAAGTGGACCGCGCCCTGTGAATCTCATTATCATCAAACATAACAATTATATGTATAATGTTTAAATTTGTTTATTTAACTATAAATAAACTGAAGAAGTATAGTAACTTTAAGAATTTTACATTTGAACCGCAAAAATGAATGATTCATTGTGGAAAAATTGTAAATAAGGTGAAGTGAATTGAAAATTGAACGAAAATGCTGCCGCATACGTTGTTGTATATATAAAAAACAACTATATGAAAAATGTTTACAAAAACAAAATAACTTAAATTCACGAAGAAAAAAAAAGAAAAAAGTATTATTCTACAGTATTGTCTTTGCTTCAAAGAAAAAATTATAACATTTATAAAAATTAAATTTAGAACATTTTTATAAATGAAGACCCTACATATAATCAGATAGCAACGATGTAGTCTTGTTTGTGATTGGTCCGACATTTTTCTTCAATTCGCCACAGTTGTTTGAAATGTATTTTATTATTTAGCATTTTTTGACGATGAATTGTTGCAGAAAAATGCTGGCGCATCCAATCATTTTTATTCGGAAAGAAATACTTATATTTAAGGAATTATGCAAAATTGAGAAAAAGTTGGACTACACGGAACTATGGCTCTACATAATACTTACAACGTTCGCGAGCATCGTTTGTCCTTGTTTAATTTGATGAACAACAAGGACGAAAGGATTCCACGAGTGTTGAGTCTTAAATAGAACGCAGCCTACGTATATTCACTGCGTGTTTACTTATGTCCGCCAGAAACTATGAAACTTATAGAGCTGCTACATTTACGGTGACTACACTGCAGTGAGTAAGAGTGAGATAGCACATCTTTCTCTCTCGCACAATTTTGAAGAAAAATGCCGGACATTGTTGTGGTTAGACTCCGATTACAGGTTCTTTATTTACAAGTACATTTTCACATGTAACAAAACTTGAGTTATCTGATATGATTGATGTAGACATAGATATGTTTTATATTATACCACCAAATGGTGAGATACCGCTATATATTATGGAAGATTGTATTCTGACTAGATTAGAGTATTTGAGGCTCCTAAGTGAAGGATCTGCTAATGAATTTGATGGGAAATTTGAGTACTTATTAGAAAATTCTACCTACGATAAAATTGGACATTTTGTATTAAGGTAAGTATATGTTAGAATTTTTTAGACAATCTTTAATAATTAAATATAATTTAAATATTTTATTAAAGAATAAATAATATACAATTTAAAAAAGTTCATGTGTCTAAAGTAAAGGAATTAAACACAGATAGAACTATAAAAATCTGTACTTCTAATTAATTAAACATTGCTGTCTATTGTTTTAGGTTATTAGCTTCTACATCGTCAGATTTATGTATATATTGGATTGGCAAAGAATCATTATTATTTAAACATAGATTAGATAGTCTAACACCTAGACGACTGCATAAATTATTAAAGCAAATTACATGGAAACTGCAAATATTTAAAGATAAGAAAAGTACAATTGACACGACTCTGATTGAGTTATGCAAATTTTATTTGCAGCCCTTAGTTTTTAAACATCTGACATCAAATTGTCACAACTGCGATAATTTTCGATACGAAAGTATGAATACAGAATGTTATTTATATATAAAAAATTTTCAAATAAACAAACTAATTTCTTATTTCTTATTTCATATTTCAGTAAGGTTCGAAATAGTGCCAGATTTGGTAAAAGAAAGAGAACTAGCGCTTAATAATGGAAATGTCATCACGCATTGTTCAGATTGGAAAAAAGTACTTCGATTATTATTTAGTAATTATGTAATCAATGAAATGAATATCATGAAAAGACAGTCACAACATATCATAAAACATGATCTTAGGTTCCACATTTTAAATCAGAAAATTCAATCCTATCTCTTCAAGGAAGGTGTTCCTCATGGAAAAGTAACTATTAATAATATAGAAGCAGAAGCACAGAAATTCCCATTATGTATGCAACATTTGCATTCTCTATTAAAAAGAAGACATCGTCTCAGTCACTATGCGCGTTTATACTACAGCCTTTTTCTAAAAGAAATAGGAATGACCCTAGAAGATTCAATTGTATTTTGGAAGCAAGAATATTCCAAGCCACATACTTGTACTTCAGTATGTTCACACAATTGGCAATCCAATGAGAAAAAATTTATATATAGCATCAGGCACATGTATGGTTTAGAAGGATCCCGAAGAACTTACAAGACGCCTGACTGCAATTTCATTTGTGTAAGTACAAAAATGTCACACAAAGTCTTTTCTAATCTACATAAACATTTATATTATTAGAATTACTTTTTCAAACATCGAAACTATTGTAGGTTGGTATTAGTGGAACAACATACGAGGGTGGTTGTCCTTTTAAGGATTTTGATAAGAGTGTACTCAGAAATCTTTTACAAGCTTCAGTAAATGAAGATGAAATTGAAAAATTTATAAATAACGTATCTACTAAAGATCCAGAAGTTCTCTGCACTACATTTCTGAAACTCGTACGCAAAGATGACATTAACGACGTCGTTATCAAAAGTCCAGTACAATACTACCAAAGAATGATTAATTAATATTAATTCTATCTTCGTAATGAAAAATGTATACAATTAATGCCTTCATTCGTGCCAGTATTTTTTGTTATTCAATTCAAGATGTTACTTATATATATTTTGTAGATATTACAAAACAATCATAAAGATAAATAAATTATATTAATGTTTAAACAATTATTTGTTACTAAATGATTGCAGAGCATCTTCTACAACACAACGACTTACACCATCTTCAACTAATACAGCATGTACTCCAAGTTTACCAACTTCCATGATATTTCTAGCCTCATCGTCAAAAAATATCATATCTTTATAATCAGTGTGAGAACTCTTTCGAATGCTGAAAGCAACATAAATTGTAGTTTTAAACTAGTTATAAGTTATACAATATAAGTTAATACAACCTAATA